TAATGAAATGCTTTGAAATATCCCTTGATCTGGAAATTTGACAGACTTAGCATTGTGGTTTAAGTACCCACTTTTGGAAGGAGGCCAAGGCAAATTATTATTGCATGTCAATCCAACAGATTTCAGTTCACATTAATTTTATATTTATATTTGTTGAAGGGAAAATCGATTGAGAATCATAGATCAATGTAGGGGAAGGGAAAGGTGATGCAAAGAAATTGCATCCTAGATGGAAGAAGGTTTTTAAATTAATAACATTGGGTCTGAACTCATAGAGAGTAACATACCCAGCACTGTCTTTTGCTCCCGTATAAATTACAACCAAGGTTTACGATTAAGAATTGCATTTCCAGCATTCCATGGATTTTGCCTAGACATGATTTCTACATGAGGCCAGTATCAACTCTAAGTAGTCACCTTTCTCAAGTCTTGTCATTTCATGTTTGCGGATCATAGTTGATAGAGGAATGCGTTATTTTTGCTTTTCTTTTCTGCACTGCATTACTGTCTTTGAAAGACATTGGACCGTAGTCTCTTCCATGAGAGTCACGACTTTCAGCAGCAGGTTCATTAAGAAGAAATTATGTTCACTTGGCAATGTTCTCACCATGAGATTTTGCATGTCCTGAAGATGAAAATGAGCAGGCATCTGGTGCACATATTTCATCGCCTTTTGTGAGGTGCATGGACTCACTGCATGCTGAATTGTATATTGAACCACGTGACAACTGACGAGCCGCAGTTTTTGATCGGCTGCTAATCCGTGTATTGAGATTTCTTTCCCTTTCAAGTAGTCCCTTCAGTACCCCCTCTACCCCCTTTGAGTTCTCAGGTTCCTCCAAGACAGCAGGAAGTAGCATGTTTGTTTGCTGGAAGATGCAGTAGATTCTTCAGGTATAGATCTGTATTATGCAGATGTCATGGAGGAGAGAAATAATTGTATTGGGTGATGGAATTTATCTGGGGCGAATGGAGCCAGGGATCCACTCTTTAATGAAATGCTTTGAAATATCCCTTGATCTGGAAATTTGACAGACTTAGCATTGTGGTTTAAGTACCCACTTTTGGAAGGAGGCCAAGGCAAATTATTATTGCATGTCAATCCAACAGATTTCAGTGTGTGGTGGCACATTGCAGCAGTGTCAATGAAAAGTATCAGGCACAGTTTTTAGCGAGTATAATTTTATGAGTGAAAGTACTAGCAGCTACTGTGCTATGATTCCTTATGGACTTCTTGTTCATTAATATCAGGAACCAAAGTGATTTCAGGACTGGTGCCATGTGTGAAGAACATGCAATAGCACAAAATCATTGATGGAGGGGATCAAGTTAGGGCCAAGAATCAATTGTTATAGGTTTCTTTTGTTGTGGAAAACAAAACATGAAAAAGAATATTGGTATTTTCAAGAAACTGTGAGCAATCCCAGTAATTACTTGTGACTTGATTCCCCTTGATGTCTTCAAACCTGCACTTCTGAATGCTTACGTGACACAAGCAGAACTCATTGTGGATTTGCATTAATTCACTGAGGGCTGTTGGCATGAAGTCACTACCTTGAAGCATTATGATTATGCCTGTAACAGTGTGTATGCTTAAATTGCCTCAGTATGAGGCAAGTTAGGCAACTTTTGCACTTTGAACCTTCTCTAGCTGTTGCACTGTCTTTTTGTCTGATACAATTATTGTAGAAATACCTCTAGATATAATTTGGCTATCATATTGTCTTTTTTCTGAAAGAGTTTGCTTTAACCCTTATCCAGTCAAGATATTTTAGTGTCAAAAATAAGCAAAAGGAAAAACTAAGTCCGTTAGACCCCTTGCTCATTTTTTTTCTTAAAAGCAAATCAAAGCAGAAGTTCCTTTTTGGATCTATATGTAACTGTCAATGAAAGACAAATCACATTCCTATACAATTTTAAAAGAATTATCCAGGCAGCAATCCAGATGAGGGTTAGAGCATGCTTACAAATTGATGATGGAGTTCCAGTCATTGCTTTGGTTTGTTTCAGTACTGTGTTTGGGATATTTTTTTCCCCTTTGCAGTTCAGTGATTCTTTTCAACAGAATGGACTCAGTTGAGTAAGCAAGTAATGAGGTGTCCTAAGCTGGTTCTGTTGTTTCTTAGCTGTTTTATTGCCCTTCTGCTGGTGCCCAAGGAAGGAACTCTTACGATCTTAGCAATGAATCAAATGTGTAAGGGATTGGGAAAGGGTGAAATGCTATAGGGAAGATGAAGTGAAAAGTTTGAGAATGTATGACCCCATAGGGGTATGAAAAAGGGCTGAATAAAGGACAAAAGTAGTTTTCCTAGAATCCCTTCGTATGTGAAATTTAATGCCCTAATTCCTTGGAGGAGTACTCAATGAAAACTATGAAGGTGAAGCCAGGGAAGTTATGTATCTTGTCTTTAAAAACAACTCTGATTTTTCAAGGTCACAATGTCCATCAGGGTAAATTGAGAGATGTCCCAAAATATTTTGCTGTATTGGTACATTCTGATATCAAGCAAAACCAGATGATATCAAATGTGATATATGGCTGGAACTCAATCATCAGGCTGTGAATATCTCAACATGAAAGATTGATATCTGCTATGGTACCTACTCTTTAACCCATTGACGCAGGGAACCATAATATTACGTTTTTAAACCCATAGTGTTCTGCAGTCGCTGGGTGTGAATGGGTTAAGAAACTAAACCTTCACATGGATTTTCTGATGTTCTTTTTATCAGTAAACTATCATGACAAAATGCCCTAATGTACACTATGTGCACATGGTAATACATACCATTGCAGCATTGTAGGTTAGAAGTAAAATTCAGGCATATTGAAATTAATTGAAACAATTGAAACAATCATGAAATAAAGTTGGTTGCACTATAACTGGTAGCTTTTGGGTTGTTTACAATAGGAACAGCTACTTGCATACCTTGCTGTGTGGTTATTGCCATTCTTCCCTGGTGCAAAATTTTATGGAACAAATGGTCACTAACATTACTTGATGCATTTTTATTCTTACTCGTGATATAAATGGGAATATCAATGCTTAGGTATGTGAGCAGCTATTCATTACTTGAAGAAATTGTGATTTCTCAATGGATGGGAGTTACATTTACCAGTAATAATACAGTTATTCTTTTGGCTTTAGATGACATTTTTTGGACTCAATTTTGTAAGAACTGCATTGAAGATATCTTGAATGCTTTAGGGAAGCCGTGATGAGGGTGCAACAGATCCAGACACTTTGACTCTCACAAATGTGACTAAAGAGGATGCTGCCTGGTATGTTTGTATCGCTCGGAACACTGTAGGGGAGACGAGAGGTCAGGCATACTTGGAAGTTCTCACTGGTGAGTAGTATGCAAAAGCCTTGCCTTGTTTATTTGATGTATCACTGCCCATCTGATTGGCAAGTCTCTCTTTTTTTGCATACTCAGAAGAGGAAAGCAAAGTACTGCCTTCGTTTGCATCTCAGGATTCATATGATAGAAAGAACATCACAATTCTGCTGGGTGTCATGGGTCCCTTTGTCGTGTTTCTTCTCATCATATCTCTGTTCATGTATCAGCGTATGAGGAGGTGAGCAATGGTGCTTGAAAATTTATTATTTTAAAATGTGTCCAGAATTTCAAGGAAATGGATCCAGATATTTTAGATACAATTCTTTGGATCTATTATTTTAATATGGAAGATAAAAGGTGCCATTAGTCCCTGAAAGCATCATCTGACAAAGTTTCAGGTTTGGTTTTGCAAGATTTCTTTGATCGTTGATTCATTTGGAGTGTGACGTTCCAGTTTGCTTTGTAATTAATGCATTTGAAATCTTCATTTGTAAAAGTAATTTTCATTGCATGAAATGTGCTTTAAGCATTTCTTTAACCAGTCTTAACTATTATATGATTGATGCTTCTTTTTCCACTGTCAACCACTAAAATAGCTTTGTGCAAGTACAGAATCACAAATAAAAACTTTTGCGCATATTTTCCAAGTTACACATTAGAAATCCTCTAATCATTCAAGTAATTGATTTTTGTACAAGTATGATCTAGAATTTCCCCCTTGTGCAGGGAAAGTGTAAGAAACTTTACAACTGAAGAGACCATGGGAAGAACAAAGTCACATTTAGGTTGCTTTGAGAAAAACAAAAATGAAGTTTCAAAAACCATATGGCTTCTAATTAATTCAAGATACAAAAATTATATATATATATATATATATATATAATAGTATCATTGATCATTTTGCAATTTTAGGAATATCAGAAATGAAAGCTTGTATAGCAAACATGTAGGTGGCAGCACTGTCTGAAAAAATATAAAAAATGTAACTTTGATCATTCTTTCTGTGGGTTCTTCCACAGCCATCATGGGCCATATTAAGTCACTAGTATTATAGGAGACTATTTTAAGGAAACCTCAGGGTATTGTGGGTTAGAACCTCGCAGGCCACTTGTAAGCACCTCAAGGGCCACTTTTTGCTCATGGGCCACTGGTTGGACCCCACTGGTATATATAATCGTCATATAAACTTTTGAAAGTACTTTCATGCTCATGAAATCCATTTCACTGACTTCTTTAGATGTGTTGTGTGTTCAGGACTCGCTGGTTATGCTTGATGTCCTGTAAGAAAAAAATCATATTCCTTAATGAGAGGGATTTGTTTCCTTCCAGAGCAAAACAAAAGAAAAAGGAGACAGTCCAGGTGCTCACACATGAATTCAAGCGGATCATCGTGGAGAAGCAAGGGCCTCACCATCTCACACCCCTGGTAGGTTATGCTCCTGAATCTTGGGCCTGTATGCACGTAAAGGGAAATATAATTTGGATCGAGCTGTGAATCTTGGAATCCCTGTACAGGTCTACATTGAGAAATATCGGGCAGAGGCAAGGCCTATTGCTGCTTCCCCTTGCACCACCGAGACGGGCACAGATGCCGAGAGTCAGCCTTCTCTCGGAACGAGCATTGGGAACAGCGGACAGGATCCAAACTGGGAGTATGAAATCATCATGGATCCGAAGTGGGAAGTCCCTCGTGAAAACCTAGAACTTGGATCCGTTTTGGGTGAAGGTGCCTTTGGGCGTGTCGTCAAAGCCCAGGCGAGAGTGACCATGTCCCCAGATTTCATGGGTCCGGTGGCTGTGAAGATGCTGAAAGGTAACCTGTCCTTGAGTTTTCCTCTTGCTTGTGTTTCAGGATAGGCAATACTAATGATTAGCTTACCTTTTGTATTACTTTTGTTGTGAGTTGGATGAGAACATCCTCTCATCTGCTGAGAATGGCTGATTATGACACATTGGATGGAATGACCTGAACAAAGAGCATTTATAATACCCACTGCTCATGGTCTGAATATGCTTTTGAAAAAGGAGAGAAGGTAGCATGAGTTAAAGAAAGAATAAATAATAGAGGAGAATAAATAAACCTAAGTAAAGCCCAGTCCAGTACCAAGCTATTCCAAAACCAAATCAACAAAAACCAAGTCAAGCTTCCCACATTTATAAATAATGCCTAATATTTCATGAAGTTTGAAGCAGGAATTCACCTGCAAATATTAACCAAGCATTGTACAGACTCATGTTCATGGGCAGTTGAGTAATTGCACAGGGAACTTAAAAGCTTGCATGTTTCAGTGGTGATTTAAGTTCCCACTTGCAATCATTGCACATAATTTTTGGTACTGTATGCATGATATTGTGCCTTGGAAAGGTTTTCTTATACTCTGATCTTCTGTTTCTTCCATCAGAGGGACATACAGATATGGAATTGATTGACTTGGTGAAGGAGTTGGAAGTGATGAAGGGTATTGGCAAGCACAAAAACATCATCAACTTGCTTGGCTGCTGCACCCAAGGAGGGCCTGTTTATGTCATTGTCGAGTGGGCCAAACATGGGAACCTACTGGAGTACCTTCGAAACCACCGGGTCCCAACCGGATACGAAGTGGCAGTGGGATATAATCTCCTCACTCTCAAAGATCTTGTGTCATTTGCCTTTCAAATTGCAAAGGGCATGGAATATCTTGCCTCTAAGAGGGTACGACATGCTTCCTTCTTTTTGATACATTTCTATTTTCTGCATTAATTTTTTCAGGCATTCACTTTCAATCTGCACTTACTCCTTGCCTGACAGAGTTGATGGGCAAACTAATGTGTGGCTACCACTTGCCTATGCAAAAATGGGTAGAGTTTTTTTTTTTGCACTTATTCTTGGCATTTGTCGGAATGCTCAATGAAGCATATTGATTGCACTTGTTGAACTAAGAGGTTCAGCAGATAATTAACACTGTCCTTTTCCTCTTGACTTCCATCTTTTGTTTGCCTTGTGCCACATTGAGACTTCTTAATGATTTCTTCCCCTTGCAGTGTATCCATCGAGATTTGGCTGCTCGAAATGTGCTGGTCAGTGAAGACATGGTGCTGAAAATAGCTGACTTTGGGCTTGCCAGAGGCATACTCAAAACTGACTACTACCGCAAAACGACAACAGGGATGCTTCCCATCAAGTGGATGGCACCAGAGTCCCTCTTTGACAAGCTCTACACTTCCCAGTCAGATGTGTGAGTCTCCCGATCTTGCTGCTTGCTGCAGCCATACAATTGGTCACTTTTGTTTTGATGAGGGTGTTTGGTTTAATCTTTTGTTTTTTTTTGTTGCTGGCTTTGTTTGGTTCCTCACTTATTTCGAATGATCTTGTATTGCAGGTGGTCCTACGGAATCCTTCTGTGGGAAATCATGACACTTGGAGGATCACCATATCCATCCATCCCAATCAAGAGCATCCTCAAGATCTTGAAAGAAGGGTATCGGATGGAGAAACCTGCCAACTGCCCCGTCGATATGTACGTTTTTCACATGCCTCAATTATGAGGGTTATTGAAAAGGTCTTGGGAACTAATGCTTGATACTGGAAATTGTTTTTTTTCTTTAATGAGAGAAAAGCATGATATTTGGGTGTTGCAGGGTATAATCTAAATCTTACTAAGCTGTGTAATCAGCAAAATTATTCAGCTGAGAATACCCAGGATCAAGGTAGCAAGGTTGGATAGTGGTATCAGGAGGTGATAACACCCACTTGCAATGATAAATAATAATAAAGTGAATAATAATAAAAATAAATGATTGCATCATTTATTTTTAATATTACTCAAATTTGTGGAAGAAGGAGGCTGCTACTTGGCATTGTTTCTGACACACAGGATTGTCACATGGTGGTCAATGTGTTCAGTCTTAATTTTGGATAGGCATCAGCATTATTAATGCATGAAAAAAATACTCCTCTTGACCTTTTTGATTTCCCAATAATTTTGGATTTTCAAATACACTTGATTCAATGAAAGGATATATTTTTATTTGTGCATTCCAAAGATACCTGCTGATGAGAGCATGCTGGCAATGGTCAGCTTCCAGCAGGCCCACATTCCATCAGATCGTGGAGGAGATGGATCGCATCCTTGGCAATGTGTCCCCAGATGTGAGTTGTTGTTGCTTCTACTCTCTGACATGTTTTGATGGGAAAAAGATAGAGCATATTGTCATTTCATGATGGTTTACTCTTGACAATCCCCGTAGTTATACATGAACTTGGACATACCGCACATCGACACACCTCAGTCGAGTCCCGAGACGTCGGCCGAAAGCCTTCTCTCGTGCATCCTGCTGAAAGAAGAGTGCTCTGTTTAGGAGCAGACTTCTGAAAGTCTCTACAGTACCTGAAGGAATCTCAGATCAGAAAAGGGACACTCATTTTCCTCGATCTGACTCGTGCGGCCGAAGGGAGCCGATGCTCGAACTTGCCGACGGGATGGCAGTTTTTTGTATTGTGGTATACTCTGTGGTGCTAATCCATGAAGCAGGGAAGATGAATCTTCAGAACTCTAGACGCTTCATTTGTTTTGCAATAGTTACCATGCTCCATGTTTGGGTAAATGATATGTTCTTGTGTGTGAGTTTGTTCTTGTCCAAATGGGTGCCCTTTGATGTTGTATGTTGGACTCCTAGTCATGATGCTCAGTGACTGGCATTGCATTACATTTTTAGTTTCCTGACAGAGGGAAAGGATTTTTGTTCTTCTCTAGATCTCCTTCAGGTGAGGACAGGAACTCTCAACTCTTACTTGCCTGTTCCTATTCATTGTTCATTCATTTCTGGCATCATGTTGCAGGATGCAAATGTGAGGAAGTTCTTCATTTTTTCTAATCCTACCTATGTGATTTGACAGGAAAGTGGGGCACTCTGTGTGGGAAGTGCATGTGTAATTTTTTTTTTTCCAGTGACCAGAAAGTCTGATTCATGTAATTGACTCCTTTTGTGTGTTGCCCAAAATTTCCCATTTCTGGGGTTTCTGACCTATCTCTTCAATGTTTGGTCCCCAGCCATGGGATCTACAGTATCTCATTCAAGGAATCTTGGAAGGCTTCATCTGTGAGCACGAAAGGAACTGACATCTAAGGTAGCTTCTTCATGGCCTAACATGTATGTATTTATCTGTGATGTGTCAAAGCGTAAAGAGAAAAGACCTACCTTGAGAAATGCCAGAGGATCCTTCTTCTGGTACATTCCTGGTACATTCACGCTTTCATCATGATGCCATTATTTTGTGGTGGTTGGATTTCTTGTTCTTTTTTTTTATATTCTCCTCTTGGTTGATAAAAATTATCTCTTGCTTTCTATGTTGTAGTGGACTCAACTAGACTAATTTGAACTGGCTTTCCTTCAGACTCTTGCTTTTCGTTATATCCATCTTGCTTGTGCTACTTCTTCCCCTCTTGCTTGGGCTCATCAGTTTGTCAAGCCTTTTGCAGACTCAGAGGACTTTCAAAATACATGTTCAGCCAGTTAGTGGTGAAAGAAAGTGGTCTTTTTTCACAATTATGGTGATTGTCCCCAAGTGCCTTTTGTTCTTACCCAGTCAATTACCTCATTTTGTTTGCCTGAACTTGCCAATGTACAGTATTTATCTGTAGTCATGAGGGGAAAGGAATCACATTCAGCAGCAAATAAAATGTTTTTGGTTTTTTTGGAAATGATTTTTACTTATGGTTTTTGAGCCCTTGCCAGGAAGCTGTCATGACATTGAGCAGTCTGGAATTTCTGTTCTATTAATTGGGTTTGGAGGGAAGTCACAAGGATGGTCATAAACACTTGTTCTGCAGGCAAATATGCAATTTACAATTTGATGCAGTTCTTGTAGTGCCTTTGATGTTGGAAGTAACTTTCCTCTGTGTCTTCTGGCATTAAAATGATTCTTTATGGAAATTGCAACAGGTTCATCTGAATACAACTGTAAATTAAAACTCATGATTGCAAGAATCCTAAATGAAACTGGAATAGAGTGCCTCCTAATTTCCATCCATTAAACCCCTACTTCTTGGGATATTTGTGATGTGGACCTGACATATGCTCATTTTTTCATTTCCTTGAAATCCCAACTAGCTCCTCAAGTTGCTAATTCTCCTGGGAGACCATCTGGGAACACCATTCCCCATTATGCATCAGTTAGCCCTAACTTTCAGGAGTCCGTTTTTCAGCCTATAAAAATCTGAACTTATTTCATTTCACCTCAGTGGCACCTCACAGCCTGATCATGTTCTGACAAGTTCAGTCTTGAAGTACTGAGAATGAAAGACAAACTTTCAACATCAAATGTTTTATTCACAAAATTTGCAATTCCATAAACACCAGTGTAAAATTTGTCAACCTCAGAGAAGCAAAAGGGATAATTCACAATCCTGAAGGCTTCTTCTTCCGCCTACTTTTTATTTTCCTCCTCTCGTTGGGATTCCGATGGGGGTTGTCCATCTTAGTTTCTCCTCTGTATCCCCTCTGTGCAGCTCGAGAGTGAACATCCCTGATTGCAAATGGGGACAATCCTGCAAGAGCACCAAAGAGAGCACCATCAGAAGAGCAGACCACAGAAAGCTTTGTGACAATCCTTGCACAAGGTGTGAACACAAAAAACAAGAGGGAGTTCCAAAGTTGATAGGAATACAAGCTCTTTTCATGTTAGAAATAAAGTCTGTTTGAACATTTGAACATCAAAAAAGCTGTTGAGTCAAGACCACTAATTTGAAAATTTAATAGGGCCCACAATAGAATGACATGTTCAGACTCTGAACAGGAAGACTTATCCATAAAAAGCCTCACACGTGAGGTTTCATAAGTCAATATAAAGCTGCAAAATAAAGGCTGAGTTTCTAAATTACTATTTATTGAACAGGAAGAGAAGGCACAGCATGTCCCATGGGTGATTGGAATGCATTCCTAGAAGCCATAGGAGTGCTCTGTCTTCATGCTGACATCAGAACTACATGATAGGCATCATAAGATGTGGAGGATCGCCCAAGACTATGCTTCTGAATGCATTAATACAAGTGATACCAGATGTTAAAAGGACAAAAAGTATGTGTCTTCTTGGGAAAACCTTCTCATGCCTCTTAGATTGTTGATTCACTTGATTGGTAGGTCTTGTCAATTCATAAAAATTTTTCCAGAGACAAGTTCTGTAAACCTCATATCAGCACATTCCCTCAAGATATTCTCTGTCAGTGTGTCTTGATCTCTATAACTTATTATTATTTATCAGCAACTTATTAAAGCACCTCTAGCACTAAGAAAAAGGTAGACTCTTTAGCTGTGAATTGAAAGCTTGGATAAAGTTTTAACTATGGGAAATGATCAGTTCCAAGTAGGGCTGTACTGATGGCCACTTTTGGCTGGTGGGCCGATTTTCATCTCATAACCATCGGCCAGTGCCAGAGTCAATTGTTGTCTGAAAATTGAGAAGTAACATGAAAATGCATACTAATTCAAATAATTTGGAAACTAAGTGATAGTTCTCAGGAGATCCCCTAAAAACTATAGAGTACTATATTTAGTACTGTCTGTCTATGTCCATCAGTGGTTAGCTTGTTACCTATTGCTGCTGTTAAGGGTATTTAAAGACACATCTCTAGCAAATGCATAACATAAAAGAAGGGACTATGATTTCCTGTAATTTACTGCTATTTTCCTCTGCCAGGTCCTAGAATTTGGCTGAAACATAATCAGAATGATATTTTTCAAGTTCACACATTCACTTAAATTTTTTAAAGTAAGTTTTGCCCCTCCTTTAGACACCAGCATCAGTAGCTTGCAAACCGGCTGATGGCACCGATAACGCAACAATGGCAACTGATTCATCAGTACAGCCCTAGTTCCAAGCAGTCCTTGAGACCATTTGCCTTCTAGTCTCTAGGAAAATTTGCTTTATGGTTACTTTCAGTTTTCAAGTCAAGGCTGGTCAAGAAATTGTGCCTTCAGGAGTTCATCTCTGGCATCTAATTCACAGCTGTGAAGTCCAAGTACCAGGGACACTTTTAAATGTTGCTAATGAGGATTCATTCTGCCATGGATATAGGGAAAGAGTATCCTGAAAGTATGTGCAAGTTTGACATTTTTATAGCTCTGCCACTACCCATGCCAATAAGAAAATCAAAATGAGCAGCCAAATTTATTGAGTACACCTCACTCAGAGGTGGATGGATGCATTGTACCTAAAACCACTAAGGGAAAGAAGAATAATGACAGAATAGAAAAGGCTGAGTGCCACCATTCTCAGGGGGCAAGTTGTGAAGACAAACAGAAATGAAGGGTGCAATATTAAAGTGAGAATTCTTGAGGAGAGAACACTCTCTGTCTCTGTCACTACCTTTCACAATGAGGACATGAATATGCAAAAATATGGCACATTTTCAAGTGACTACTTCATCAACATAATTACATGTTACTGATTGACACTGCTCATGTTCAACCATCAATATCTTGATGAGCTAGTTACACATAGGGAACTTCCTTATGGGAAAGAGGAAGTCATTTTGTTCTAGCTGAACAGCCAAGAACCTGTTCACAACCACATCAGGTGCCTGAGTGATACATTCAGGTACTTGCTAACTAATACCTTAGTGATGATTTACAGCTCCTAAGTTCTATTGCTGCAAAATGGCTAAAATTCAGTAGGCAGGCATTAACATGGATATGAGACATGAGTAGATTTCATTTCTCAAGTTTCTCATACATCATCTTCATGAAATTGTGCTGCTCAGCGAACAACTTCAGAAGTACCCTTTTAAGTGAAGTGATAAGACCAAGTAATTCATGATGAAAAATAAACTTGACCTACTTTCAATGCAATTTCAGATGCAGAAAGTCAATGCCAACTCTGACCTGCCATAAATACTGAATACATAGGAAGCACAGAAGAGGTTTGCACACATGAATTGGGATATGAAGACTGGGTCTTCAGGTGTCATGTGCAAGATAATGGATGCCCAATGGGGAAAGATACATGGAAGAAGCCAACATTCAGAGAGTAGCTAACCCAGAAAGGGAGATACAAAGAATATATCCCATTCAAGTGCATGAAGATACCTGTAGAGACTCTGTGCTCAATGTGTTCACAGATAATTAGCCAAGAAATGTTATATACACAGTTATCACCATGTGAACCCAAACTGGAAGGATGAGCTGATTTATGAGTTATGAAATAAAAATTGCAAAAGGATTTCAACACCAGTTTATCCAGAAGAGATATGGCATGTGGCCTTTTTTAAGTTCCAATGTCACTGACTGCAGAACATGTAACATGATGAAGCACACAAGTCCAATGTCTATTGACTTAACTTCTTCAATATCTACTTGCACTGGTAAGATGGCATCAAACAGTGACCGTGATGTTAAGATGTCAGAGATTGGGTTTGGATAGACTTACCTGCAATATAGTCTGGATCCAATGGGTTCAGCTTCACCATGGATGCCTTTGTGGGTCTCTTTTGGGCTTGAGGCTGGTCCACACAGAGGATTGGATTATTGGAATGCTTCCCTCCCTTTGGCATAGGCAGTGAGTACTGAAATGAAGAGAGAGCTTCTGTCATATCTTATCAGTTGATCACAAGAAGGCATTGTAGTGCAAAAAAATACCTCGATTTTTGGGTTTATGCTCAACATACTAATCTGATAAAGAATAAGTGTTGCAATTCAGTGCAGGCAAACAGGGGGCACCCCACACATGGTCAAGTTTCAAAGGAAGACCAGCCAGTTGAAATTCAATAGGTAGCAATGAATTTCTTTGCCTTTTGCTAATGCCTACAAAACCAAATCTGAACAAGTGTTTAGCCAGATTGGATTTAGGGAAAAGCACATGAAAACACATGTATTGTCTGTATCCTGAATCCTTGTGCAGTGGCATTACCTGCTCCCTGGAGGACTGCCATAAAAGGAATTAGCACTTGTCAACTGAGTTGATAAAAGACTCCAAACATGAAATTTCAAGAAAAGACGGATGTGAGGACAGGCCATAAAGCTCCGCATTTGTCAAACAAAAAATTCCCCTTTGTCAACATTATTGCTCTCATTTGTCATCATTGGCAGTGACACTCCTCTTATGAACCTCATTACCCTTTGACTCTTTGAGAGTCTACTGCATGCACAAGGATTCAGGATATCAACAACGATACATTAGGTAAAAAGTGTTCCCATTTCAACATATTCCTTTGTAGATCAAATAATGAAAGGTTCACAAATGGCTGTTGAAGATTACATATAGCACTCATTTTTAAAGACAGTGTTCAACAATTGGGAAGCTGTCGATGAGCAGGGAATTTTTATAGCAATCCCTTTTATGTTGTGTATATTTCCATTCACATCATAAATACGCTCACTGAGATGGAAACAGTGCAAATATCATCTCAACTCTGGTCAACTGCCTTATGAGCCTTGTCAAGGACTTTCCTGTGATGGGGGTATACAGTAAGAGTCCAATATAAAGTGCTGCACTCATAAAGAATGGAGTCCACTGGGAAAATAAAGGAGGAAGCCTGAAATGAACTCCACCACTCAGGATCCACCCACATTTCTTTCCCCATCCCTTCAATGGGGTCATGCCCAGTGTAAGTTTTTGCCATACACTCAGAATTAAAAAAAAAACTCAACTCACCTTGGTTCCTCTGAGATTGAGAGTTTTACGCTTGGATATGTGCAAAACTTTTGAGCCATCAGGTTTCACGGTGACTGCTACCCTCTTCAAGGTCTTGTGTCCACAATGTGGACAGAAAACCTTGGTCATGATGTTTGTGGTGTGAAAGCAAGCAATGCATCTCAAGATGAAAGTCCTAACTTCTTTTATCACCATGCCATTCAATGACAGGAGTTGCAAGTTCATCTGGATGAGCATGTTCTGAAAAAAAAAAGCACACACAAGAAGCATTAATCCCATTCACACAAAGAAAAATGAAAAGCAGCATGAATGGCATGGAACAAATAAGAATTGCACACTCACACTTTTGTTCATGTCATAGTAATGCCAGATATCACTACTGAATAATAGCACAAAAGACTTAACACAGCCAGTGCCCATTAATTTTCACCCATATTTTTGAAAATCAATGAGAAACTCCTTGGTTCTCCTGCTCCTTTGAATAATCCTATTCTGACTTCAGAGTGACTGGAATGAGGAATATATTTCAACTCTGAAGGTTCTTTATGTTCTTCACAAAGTGACATGCAAGGGACTGAACTTTGGATACATCCAATGGAGTCTAACCCAATTGGCAGGGAGGTTTAAGCTCTGAATTAGTGCTTCACAACTGCTGTGTCATGGCACATTGGTGTGCCATGACAAAGGTTGAGAAGCACTGTTCTAAGTGATGATGCTGATGTGAACCGTGACTTCCATTCCAAATTGCATTCCTGTGCATGAAGGTTATCATGGAATCTGGCACAACAAAAGTTGTGCTTCAACCAGTCAGATGAGATTGCACTGACTAATCCAAAATTACTAACTTGGGTGTTCAGAATAATAAAGATGAAGTTCAACATGCTCCAAATTGATTTAACTTAACCTTTTCCACTTGAATGGACAAGTATACTCGCCCATTGGTACTTTGACTCTTGCACTCATTTGGTGCAGTATAGTATACCTCAGATTAAAAGTCTCTTCATTCACTCGGGTGGGTCACCTTGCTGCACCGGAAAAAATTACGTATTTTCATTTTTTCATTTTATGTGGTAAAAAATACGAGCTACTGGAGAAAACACATGAAAAAAATTCGAGTGGAAAAGGTTAACCTGATCCAATTTCTCAGTGGAGTTATATAGAAACAAAATATGACAAAACCCATGAGAATATAATACAAATTCTCATCAGTTTCAGGAACCAATGTAGTGCATGTCATTCAAAAAAGCAGTGACCCAGAATTTGACAAAGGTTTGTAAAACAACATGAACATGTCCAGTGAGCACAGCTGTACCCAAAAGCTTAACCGGAATGACAGGAGACCAACCTGCATGGCATAATCTGTGGTAATGCAGGCAACTGGGATCTCTTCGGCTTCTTCTTGGCCTTTCATGAACTGATTCTTCATTTCTTGAACATTGCTTGGTGTGATCCAGTCACCACCATCATCATCATCACTGCTGCTGCCATCGTCATTGTCATTGTCCAATTCAGTGTCTTCCTTTACCCCAGTCTTCACATCATCTTCTTGGTCAGTTTCACTCCTGTTTGTGGCTGCTTCATCCTGTTCTCTGAACTGTGAACTGCCAACCTCAGGAATTTCTGAACCATGATGCGAAGTATCTTGAGTCAGGGAGTTTTCCTTTTTCTCCTCCTCTGACGTCACAAGTGACAGTTGTTGTACAGCCCCAGCAATGTCACTGTCATCTTCTTTTTCTCCAACTACTTCATTTTCTGTGCTGCTCTTGGGTGATTCCTTGAGCCAAAAAGGGAAGAGATAATGAAGATGATGCCCAGGAACTAAACAAGTCACCAGCAAACTGAGACTGCACAAAAGAAGAAAGCAAGAGAAAGTATTCCTATATTATGAACATTTTATATCAAATGCTGTACCTACAGGCGTGATAAGAAACTTTTGGCATGAGAAACAACTCACCAAACTACTGAGTTCCCCCATACCCCTAAGAAAGGGAGCAGAATGTAGTCTCCTTTTCTTTTTTCTTTAGAATAGTATGAAAGAAGCACAATATGTTTGAATGATACATGTGTTTATATCATCGAACAAAATTTTTTAAAAACAATGTTACATTGTCTTCTGAACCGACTCAATAACTATTACAATCTCTGCCAACTGATCCCTGCAAAGACATTAAGAAAGAGGTGGGCTTTGTTTTCCACTGCCAAGTGGGGAATTCAGCAGGTAGGGTGGATTCAAAATATCAGACATGAAGAGGATGTAGGGCAAAGGGCAAAACTTCCACAAGGATTTAAAAACAGTGCACAAAATCCATGTAAAAATATTGTGCAAGGGGTAAATGCACTCTGCACTGAGATAGAAAGTATCCAGCAAACTTAACTTCCTCATTAAATAGATGCATGCCTCCTGAAAGATGAGTGACAGGGAGACCACAGACAAATATGAGGGATTCGGGTAGAATCTACAGCTGAGACACGAATGGGCATGATATTTTTGAGCAAACAAAACCCTCTTAATAGCAAATTTGAACGACATCAGAATTACAGTATGTATAGTCAGGATAGCACTTCACAAATACAGCTCTTCTCTTTTCTCACCTTTTCTTTAGGTAAGTGGAAACCAAACCACCCAGGTTGACCAGTTGGATGGTTGAAAATCCCAGACTTGTTATTGATATGTGAACGCTGCACGGGTTCAGAGCGAATGTGTTCAGTGCCGACGTGTTCCTTCTCGAGCTGAAGAGTGAGGGCCAGCACCTTCAAATCTGTGGCTGAGAGGCTTGGGTAGTCTCCTGTCTTCTTGCTGAATTGAGTCACTAAAATCAACAAATAAGCAATGCAATCATTCTTTCAAGTGCAATCTTAAATGAAGTCAAGTTCAGATATTATAGGAGAAAGACACTCATGGAGAGCCATGACTTGGGGACTACTCACCAAATTGAATACACTCCAGTGATGGCTCCTTAAAAATGATTTCGAAGGGAGTTGCTTGGAGCTTTCTTCGGGCTTCTTTGTCACGAATTTCATCGATGACAGCATCGATTGTATAAATATTTTTTCCCAATTCCTAATCAAAATCGAATAAATAATGACTGAATGATTCCAGTATGATTCATGGATGGCTTCACACAATAATCTGTCATTAAGGAAAAGCCATTAAAAATAAATTGCATTCATCCTGGCTAGGATAGGCTGGTAGAATACATGACAATTGGTATTCATAGAATTTTACAGTCAAACATTTTGCCATAAATTCATGCAAGGTTGAAGAAAAACCAAGAGCTTCATGAACTTTGTCATTTTTTGACCTGGTAGCACAAACTCCAGGCCATTTAGGGAAGAACAAAAACACTCACCTGAAGAGGAGTGAGACTAATGAAAGCACCACTGTCCACTACAAGATGACAAGCTTTGGCTGGCATGATCTGAAAAATTACTGCATGCTCTCCAATAACCTGAAAATCAAGAAGGGTTGCCAATTAAGGTCTCATTGTGACAAGAGAAACCCAGTAGGCCTAGATTCTATGAAAGTAGAAGTAAATATAGCTTCTATTTCATCCCATGGATATATATGACAATGTACACTGTGAAATGACAAAACCTACAATGCATATCATGCTCCACCAAAGTTGATTTAAAATATTTAGACTATCCTCATTAGTTCAAGGCTTAACTCAGGGTACTTTATTTGGGCAACCAAGTCAACCTATCATTGCCACACTGGGCAAACACTACATTTCATTCTGGGCATAAGTAAATTAGACTACCATTTAGTTCAATTAGTCCAGCCTTGCTTCTCAGTTGGTTCAAGCAGGATAACCGAATTAAAACCAATTAAGAAGATGAGGAACATTCTGCATTTTCTTTGATTCACATCTAAGGCATTGCACAGTATTTTCAAGTTCCCAGGTGAAGGCAAAAAGCATTCAAATTTGGATATTCAGCCAGGCATGACAATTATGGGGATGCTGACAACGCTATATTCCTTTCTGCCCTGCTCCATGCAAAGAGGGATTTCTGTCCCAGTGAAGATAAAAAAATTGAGAGGGAGATTTGTGAATAGACAGGAGCAAGATCCATGCCTGATTTGACTAATGCAGCTTTAGCACTAGAAAATAATAATTCCTTTTCAGCATTTAGTGTACTCTAAAGGAAAGAAGATATCTATCGCTATGTCCAACATTAAACTTTTTTCTTATAAATGCTTTTTAACCAGGAAGGAATCTGATCCCTGCAATGATACACAGTGGGATTGTTCACCTATGCTTGCCATGACCACTGGGTAAACAGACAGATGTCAGCACATTAGATAACTTTAAGCAGAATATTTCCCCAAGGGAGCCTCAAAATCAATGCTGCAGGATTTGAAACATGAAATTGATCCCTGACTTGTGATCATTCCCATTCACAAGAGTGACAGGGTGAAAGCCATCAAGTTCAAAATGAAAACATAAATATGCAAATTCCTAATCTGGAGGTTGATTCTAAATTCCAAGTAATAGAGGGTTGATTTTCAGCAATTCCAGTTCCATCAGCCCTTTCAGATAAAAGGGGTAAACATAACCAAATTGCACTTCCATTATCATCCCACTGCTAGCCTGAGATCCAATTCACTGAACCACAGTGATTCAGTCAAGTCTAAGCTACACAAGGCCTAATTGCCAAAGGAAGATCACCATATTAAGTCCACCTCATCCAAGAAGAATGTGAAAATGGACCTAAACGATGCCATTCAAGTTTCTTCCCACAGTATTCAAATGAGAAACAGCACTTAGGTTTGGAACATTCAGGTACACACTTCTTTCATATTGAATTCATACCCCCACATGGAGGTGGAGAATGGGGCAAGCAATACTTCCAGAGGATCCACTTCATTAAGGGATCAATGAAACTTCTTATTTGAAAGATGCCACAACTTATAATAGATGGAAGTAATTCTATGCAAGGAATACATATTTAATCTGAGAAATGATATAAAATCAAAAGCTGTGTGTGTGTCTCAGCATCAGACTCTTGGTCCTGTTGCAAATGGTTTGCCCACAAAAAGGTTAAATAAGTTGGACCTTGGGGAGGATGATACCCCAGAAATGCTATATATGTTTAAGAATGACAGCTCTAAAATAATATACCACTTTGTTTTCCTAGGGACAAAAATAGGGATGGCCTAGGGATGGCCAGGGGGGCATTCAATGACATAGGTATAAAACTATGGATTAAATGACAAATAAATATATGGCTATGTAATGAAAAACCCACTAGAATAGTTGAGGATCTGACTTCAGGATACAGTTAAAATGTGTCTGTGAAAGGCAAGGGGGAAGCAATCAGTGGAGCCTACAGTCAGGCCTACAATGGTACATACAGATTCATAGAGTGAGAAGGGCTATGAATTCAATGAGATCCTAGACGAAAGAGAATGAAATTTAAAATTTACTAAGTAAATCCAAATCTGCTGTTGAGGTTAGAACCGCGTGCTGCTGTCGGCCTATGAGCTAAAAATCACTCGCAGCAGGAAAAGCAACGCGCCTAACTCGTAAATAACAAAGGTGTAACGACTCCCCACCCGATAACGTGGATCTAGGCCTCACTGAGATACCCAAAGCGGCCTCGCCCAGCCACACCACGTGCAGAGCCCGTGGACTGGCGAAGAGGATGACGCCATGACGGTCGCCGACCGTCAGTGTGGTCCAGTCGGGAGTTTTCCTCATCCGAAGACCCTGGAGTCCTTGCTAGATAGTCCATGGACGATGCGTGGGGATGGTCCTCGCCTGAGTTTAGTGCAGTGATAGGTAGGAATAGTTAGGGTTCGACTTGTCATGTGTTGTGCACTTGCAAAAGGCATTAGTCCAGCCTTGAGTCAGGGAGTTTTCCTTTTTCTCCTCCTCTGACGTCACAAGTGACAGTTGTTGTACAGCCCCAGCAATGTCACTTTCATCTTCTTTTTCTCCAACTACTTCATTTTCTGTGCTGCTCTTGGGTGATTCCTTGAGCCAAAAAGGGAAGAGATAATGAAGATGATGCCCAGGAACTAAACAAGTCACCAGCAAACTGAGACTGC